CACAAAGTGATGGTATAACAGGCATAAGTAACCACAATCCAAACAGGGTTACAGGTAAATCCAAAAGGGGAGGGGGGATGAAGGCTAACGCGTTTCGAAGGGTGCTCCCTTCTTCATCAGAGCTGAATTTCCCGCGCTCCTTTCGGTTCCACTCTGATGAAGAAGGGAGTTTATTTCCTTAATAATAAAATGAGTCACTATTTATTGAGGTAATGCGCAAGGTTTGTGCGCTCGCTCAGAGAGAACATTACAGGGCATAGAACAACATTTCAAATAAAATGGGCTGCCTTAACCACTTGCCTACCGGGCACTTATATCCCCTTCCTGTCCAGGCCAATTTTCAGCTTTCAGAGCTGTCACACTTTGAATGACAATTGTGCGGTCATGCAACACTGTACCCATATGAGATTTTTATCATTTGTTTCACACACATAGAGATTTCTTTTGGTGGTATCTAATAGCCGTTGGGTGTTTTATTTTTTGCGCTATAAAAAAAAAAATTTGAAAAAAAAAGTTTTCTTTGTTTCTATTATAAAATTTGCAAACAGGTAATTTTTTCTCCTTGACTGATGTGCATTGATGAGGCTGCACTGATGGGCAGCACTGATGGGCACTCATAGGCATCACTGATGAGGTGGCACAGATAAGCAGCACTGCTGGGCACTGATAAGCGGCACTGATGAGCTGGTATTGATGATGCTGCACTGATATGCAGCAATGATGGGCACTAATAGGTGGCACTGAGGTGGCACTGACTGGCGACACTGCTGGGCACTGATGGGGGGCACTGATGGGGAGCACTGCTGGGCACTGGAGGGTGGCACTGCTGGGCACAGGTGGTGGCACTGCTAGGCATTGATGGGTGGCACTGCTTGGCACTTGTGGGTGGCACTGCTGGGCACTGATCATCAGTGCACTGATGATCCGTGCTGATCCCTTTTCTGACAATTGTGACAGCGTGAGGAAAGTGCAGCCGACAACCGGCAACTGCATTTACCTGCTGATCTGTTGTGTTATATGACACAGCTGATCACGTGGTAAAAGGCTGCTGTGCTTGGAAATCGCCGGGTGTGTGCCTCTGTGGGCGAGCAGGAGGGCGCATTCTGGGAGGACAACATATGACGCCCTCCCAGAACTGGACAACCATGCTGTAGCCATCATTCGGCTATAGCCCGGTTGTCAAGTGGTTAATGTAACACATATTAACCTGTGACATTATCTTGCATGCATCAACAAAATCCATAAGAACTGAAAAAGAGTGAATGGACCCTTAAAGTAAACCTGTGCTTTGCCATGTATGCAGCAGATTCACTTAAAGCGTTATTAATCCCTTCTGGGAAAACATTAGGTAACAGTATACCACATAAAGTTTCCTGTTTGCAGTACCTTTTTTTATCTTGACCTGTTTTTTCATTAAAATTAGCCATGAGACATTCAGCGGTCTTCATTTCCTTCTTTTGGGTGGCTCCTCTATATGTGGGGTCTCCCTGGAGCCACCCAGACATGTGTGGTCCCAGCTGTGGATATGCAGAAACAGTACAAAAGCCCTGCATCCCAAGCCCCTGCTCCTCAAGGATGTTGATTGGCTTTGTACTGTGGAATATACATAGATGGCTTCATGGGACATAAACACCAAGCCTTATAATGGAAGTGCCCTGACCGAACGTTCCGGGAAGTGCTGCAGAGAAGGACAGATCGATGAGAACCTGTATAGTTCTAAATTAGGACTTTGGGGCATATTATTTATTATTCAGGAAAAATGAAAAGTTGAACAAACTCCAAATATCCTGGGTACCCCTCTGGACCCTGCTACACATAACAAACATGATGCTCTGTGTTGCCCCGCAACACACAGTCCCAGAGTACCTAATAATATGCCAAGCTTTCATTGTCAAGCCCTTCTTTCTTTCTTCTGGGACAGCACCTCCTATTGGTCAGTGTGGTCTGGCTGCACTGATCAATGAGTCCTTGTCATTGAGAGAAATATGATGGACACTTACTCCCAGGCTGTGTATTGTTGTGAATGGTGTAAGGGCCACTACGGAGACAGCGCGGGGCATCACAGCACCATGTGCACTGGGGTCCGGAAGGTTAGCCAAGATATTTGGAGTTAATTCACATTTAAATTTTTTTGTGAAAAGGTAAACTTACCCTTTAACATAAACGGCAATGTTGGTCTGAGAAATTGGGGTCAATGTCAGTGTCCAGCATACTCTCTGTATGCCCCTACCTCCCATACAGTGAGGAAAATAAGTATTTGATCCCCTGCAGATTTTGTATGTTTGCCCACTTACAAAGAAATGATCTAGAATGTTTATTATAGGTGTATTTTAAATGATGGAGATAGAATATCAACCAAAAATCCAGAAAAAAACACATGATACAAATGTTATAAAATTGATTTGCAGTTCAGTGAGTAAAATAAGTATTTGATCCCCAAGCAACCAACAATAATTCTGGCTTCCACAGACTGGCTATGTGCTCATGTGGTACATAGATTAGACCTGTCAATTTAAGAAGGTGCTCCTACCGACATCTCGTTATTTGTATAAAAGGCACATGTCCACAGATTCTTTCTTCCATTCAAACCTCAACATCATGGGCAAATGACCAAAGAGCTTTCAAAGGACATCATGGACAAAATTGTAGACCTGCACAAGGCTGGAATGGGCTACAAGACCATCAGATTAGCAAGAAGTATAGTGAGAAAGAGAAACTGTTGGAGCCATTATTCACAAATAGAAAACAAAATAACCATCAATCGCCCTCTGTCTGGCGCTCCATGCAAGATTTTGCCTCATGGGGTAAGGATGATGATGAGAAAAGTGGGGGGATCAGCCCAGACCTACACAGGAGGAGCTTGTGAAGGATCTCAAGGCAGTTGGGACCACAGTCACCAAACAAAGCATGGGTAACACAATATGCCACCATTGACTGAAATCCTGCAGCACCTGCAAGGTCCCCCTCCTCACGAAGGCACATGTACAGGCCCGTGTGAACTTTGCTAATGAACATCTAAATGATTCAGGGAAGCATTGGGAGAAAGTGCTGGGGTCAGATGAGACCAAAATCGAGCTCTTTCTACAAACATGGGCCGTGTTTGGAAGAAGAAAAATGTTGACTATGATCCTAAGAACATCCCTACAGTCAAGCATGGAGGTGGAAACATGATTTGGGGCTGTTTCTCTGCTAAAGGTACATGCTGACTTTGCCACATTGAGGGGCCATGAATTGTAAAATCTTGGATGAGAACCTTCTTCCCTCAGCCAGAACACTGAAGATGGGTCGTGGATGGATCTTCCAGCATGACAATGACCCAAAACATACCGCAAGGCAACAAAGGAATGGCTCAAGAAGAAGCACATTAAGGTCATGGAGTGGCCTAGCCAGTCTCCAGACCTTAATTCCATAGATTATGGAGGGAGCTGAATCTTCGAGTTGACAAGTGACAGCCAAGAAACCTTAGGGATTAAGAGAAGATCTGTAAAGAAGAGTGGACCAAAATCCCTCCTGAGATGTGTGCAAACTGGTAACCAACTACAAGTAACATCTTACCTCTGTGATGTCCAACAAGGGTTTCTCCACCAAGTACTAAGTCATGTTTTGCTTGGGGATCAAATGCTCATTGACCTGCAACGCAATTTATAACATTCATATCATGCGTTTTTTCTGGATTTTTGGATGATATTCTGTCTCTATCATTTAAAATACATCTATGATAAAAAATGATAGACCCTTCATTTCTTTGTAAGTGGGCAAGTTTACAAACCTGCAGGGGATCAAATAATTATTTTCCCCACTGTATATATTTAACAAACCAGATTACGACCAACACTAAATCATCCTTTCTGCCTGGAAATACATTTTATAATTGTTGTAGTAAAACTGCAAGGTCTCTTCCAAGTAAAAGCTAATATAGAGATCAGTGATGATGTTTTACTCTAACCCCGTGCTATGATTGTTCTACTAAATCTGCACTGGGACCAGAGAGGCAACAGATACTAGAGAAAACAATTAGCTGCTTGTAATGAGTGTGAAGACTTGGCACCACTACCCCGCCAGCAATCTCTGTGGCTACAATCCATGCAGTATTCTCCCACTCATTCAAGCTGATAGTTGAGCATCAAACCAACAAAGGCGGTTTTTATTGTATACAAAAGATAGTAGTATTGCTGCATTTGTTATGGTTTTTTACACAAAGTTCCTAAATTATTCAATGTGTAAGTATCTTTTAATAGTTTCAGCAAGGATCGTTTCCTCAACAAAGAACGTCGAAACACCAACAGCCTCATTACCTACTAATCTTAAAGAGAACCTGTATCTGTAAAGTTTCCACCCTTGAATTGTTTCAACTGCCTTTCAACTTGACTTTTTTGTAATATACTTTCTCTATTAGAACGGATGAGTCAGGCTGAGTGTGAGGTTGTCTCCTGCCTAAGCTCAGTACAGGCCTGACTCTGCACTGACATGTCTGCTGTGACAGGGAGACAGGAACTAGGAGATGAACAAAAACGCTGTTTAACCTCCCTGGCGGTATGATTATTTCAGATTTTTGGTGCTGAAAGCGGTACCTTTTTATTTTGCATGGAAATATGTAGTTTTTTATTGTAGGCTGTAATTTTTAGGAATAACTCACTGAAATCTGTCCGAACAAGAGTCTATTAAACATCCCGGGGAGGATAAAATTTGAAACACAAAATCATAAATTATAATTTAATAAATAATCATAAAAAATAATAATATAATAATAATAAATTTAATTCAATAATATAATCAAACCAAAAACACTGAAATTTGAAATATAGCGCCAAGTTCGCACATCGCTGAGCAAAGTCGCAGAATCGTTTTCAGTGTCTGACGACGAATTTCCCCCACAAATTATTATCACTCAATTCTGCAAGTGGTTCTGATTTACTATCGCTGTTCTCTAGCCGGTCTAAAACCGCTTTTGACATAAAGGGACGCTTTTTGGACGCCATGGACTTTTCTAAGTTTCCAGGCAGAAAGAACAGTCAAAATGCAGACAGGGGACAGGACAAAGCACTCGGGACAAAATGTATGTGAAATGATTTGAAACAGCAATGTTTTACTATGTGAAATTCATTTTGAAAAAAACTAAATTTTTTTTAAAATTTTCAAATTTCCTGCCGCCGCCGGCGCCCGTACGTCCCGACGTCACAGGGACCGGAAAACAGAAGCCGGATGCCGGCATCGGCCGGAGGAGATGGCCGGGGACGCTGCAGGGGACACATCGCGGGAGCGAAGGACAAGGTAAGTGCTGCAGGGACCCCCTGAGCAACGCCGCATGGTAAGCCCGAGTGTAGCTCGGGGGGGTTACCGCTTTTGGTACAGAAACTTTACCCCGAGCTACACTCGGGAATACCGCCAGGGAGGTTAAAAAAACACTCATTGTGAGTGTTTTTTTTTTCTGTTTTTCCCATTTGTGTACTGGTGTTTAGCAGTTTAACTGGTGTGAAGGGTTGGGGTGGCAAGCTGGCCGCTGCATCCTTAACAACCAATGACTCATCAGCTGTCAGCAGGGTTCCCCGGGATTGAGGAGAATCCCCATGCTGTTTTTTTTCTCAAATTTATATTGCTGGCGATTCTTTTGTTTACAGTCAGCAGGGATCCCCACTGACAGCTGATGAGTCATCTGTTGTGAAGGACGCGGTGGCAGGCCCACTCCTTGACAACCAGCTATTTACTGGTTGTTAGGGACACCGGCGGTCACCTTTAACAAAAAAAAAAGCTGGAAACTGTCTCTTAGAAGTGCTGTTCTCTGATTGGACGAGGTCCAGACTGTGATGTCACCTCCCCTCCTATTCACCCTAATAAGAGAATGCTTTGCATTTGTTGGATGGATGAATTCAGGGCATTCTCTGAATGGCGGACACTATCTGTGGTTATAATGCAGAAGGGAAACTACAAGGTACAGCAATCAGAAAACAGCTTCTAAGAGCCCCATCAAATATCATGTATGCCCTCCTCCCCAGTAGCACATAATCCCTTTCCTTTGCTCCCCTGCCATTCCATTCAGCCACCAGCAGACAGGAAAGAAAAACTCAAGTTGCTCTTGTTGGAGAGTACATGAAGCTGAGGGCTCTCTCCTCCTCCATGTGAAGGCAATGATCAGGCACAAGCAATGTTACATGAGAAACAGCAGCAACTACTACATGGATTTGCAGCTTCCACAGGATTAGTCATTTATGAGCTACAGTTGTGTTCATAATATCTGTGTGTTGAAAAAAGTGACTAAAGCTGAAAATCCTTCTAATAGCTTTTATTTCCATCCACACAAATGCATTGGGAACACGACACATTCTATTCCAAATCACAACATGAAGAAAAAATACATCAAATTTGTGTTGTTCCTCTAAAAAAATGGAAGAAAAGTGAATATTAGACGGTTCAAAAAAAATCACAGTGTTTGTATTCTTCTTTACAAACTCAAACATTCACTATATAAACTGAGAAATGTTTGAAGATTTTGCTTTCCTTTGAATGACTTCATGAATATTTGGTTGTAGTCGCACTGTTTCTGAGAACTGCTGTACATCTGTGTTGCATGGAGTCCCCCAACTTCTGGCCCCTGTGATCAGGTATTCCAGCCCAGGATGATTGGACCACATTCCACACACTTCTTCTCTATTTCTTGGTTTGGCCTCAGAAACTGCATTTTTGATGTCACCCCACAAGTTTTCTATTGGATGAAGATCCGGGGATTGGGCTGGCCACTCCATAATGTCCATCTTGTTGGTCTGGAACCAAGATGTTGCACGTTTACTGGTGTGTTTGGGGTCGTTGTCTTTTGGAACACCCATTTCAAGGGCATTTCCTCTTCAGCATAAGGCAGCATGACCTCTTCAAGTATTCTGATGGATTCAACTGATCCATGATCCCTGGTATGCGATAAATAGGCCCAAAACCGTAGTATGAGAAACATCTCCATATCATGATGCTTGCACCACCATGCTTCACGGTCTTCACAGTGTACTGTGGCTTGAATTCAGTGTTTGGGGGTCGTCTGACAAACTGTCTCCGCCCACTAGACCCAAAAAGAACAATCTTACTTTCATCATCAGTCCACAAAATGTTGGGCCATTTCTCTTTAGGCCGGTCAATGTGCTCTTTGGCAGATTGTAACCTCTTCAGCACGTCTTTTTCCCAACAGTGGGACTTTGCGGGGACTTCTTGCAGATAGCTTGGCTTCACATCGGCGTCTTCTAATTGTAACAGTCCTCACAGGGAACGTCACACCTTCTTTCATCTTCCTGGAGCTGATTGTTGGCTGAGTCCGCCACATTTTGGCTATTCTTCTATCCATTCCAATGGTAGTTTTTCGCTTTCTTCCACGTCTTTCAGGTTTTGGTTGCCATTTTAAAGCATTTGCATCATTTTAGCTGAGCAGCCGATCATTTTCTGCACTTCTTTATATGTTTTCCCCCTCTCCAATCAACTTTTTAATCAAGGTACGCTGTTCTTCTGAACAATGTCTGGAACGACCCATTTTCCTCAGAATTTCAGAGAGAAATGCACTGTAACCAGCATGTCCAACATTTGCTGCCTTCCTTCCTTAAATAAGGGCAATAACTGCTACCTGTTTTTCAAACAATGAATGACCTCACTAATAGAACTCCACACGGCTATTATTTTGAACACGCCCCTTTCAATGAGTGATTCAATGACACAGAATCAGCAGCATGCATGTCATGACTGTTGGGTCTATTGGATTTCTATGACTCTACTACACCTGCTAGGAAATTATCTGCCATGTAGAATTATCATTTCCACCAAAAACAGTGATTGATCCGGTTAGTGATGTCTGTCTGCTAGTATTTTCAACACAGCTGTATGTATACATACATTAGTCCAAACAGTAACTATGCTATAGAAATCTTACCTAAACTCCAGCTTTAACAACTAATCTCTCTCTTTATCAGTAAAACTATATTTTTATTCTTTGTTATATTATGTTGTATACTTTTTTGTTATAACTTTATATGGTACTGTATGTGTGGGCATTAAATCTCACAATTACAGTAACTGTTTCTGCAAATGATTTAATTATAAGCTGTGATTGTAGTGACTTCCTCACTCCTGGTGGCTGATCAGAGCAACAAGGGGGAGAAGAACATATAAGTATGTGAAACCAGAGACTAGGGTGTTAATGTGGTTGTAAAGCTTCTTCTTCCTTTTTTTTAAATAATAAATGTCATACTTACCTGCACCATGCAATGGTTTTGCACAGAGCGGCCCTGAACCTCCTCTTCTAGGATCACCTGCTAGCACTTTGGCTTCTCCTCTTCTCCAAGTGCCCCAGTAGCAAACCACTTGCTATGGGGGACACTCTTGCAAGCTCGATCCTGAGCTGGGCTGTGTGCATACATAGAAACACAGAGCATGGCTCAGTCCCACCCCCCGCTCCATCCTCACAGTATTTAATTGACAGTGGCCAATTGCTCTCACAGCTGCTGAATCTCCTGAGTGAGAGGGGAGAAAATCTGCTGTAGACTGGCCCAGCTCAGGGCTCAGGTAAGTAGAAGAGCAGCTACTGAAAAATGTTTACCTTAAAGTGTTGCTAAACCCAAGACCCCGCATTCACTATATCCGCTCTCCCCGGACCCCGCATTCACTATATCTGGTCTCCCCGGACCCCGCATTCACTATATCCGCTCTTCCCGGACCCCACATTCACTATATCTGGTCTCCCCGGACCCCGCATTCACTATATCCGCTCTTCCCGGACCCCGCATTCACTATATCTGGTCTCCCCGGACCCCGCATTCACTATATCCGCTCTTCCCCGGACCCCACATTCACTATATCTGGTCTCCCCGGACCCCGCATTCACTATATCCGGTCTCCCCGGACCCCGCATTCACTATATCCGCTCTCCCCGGACCCCCGCATTCACTATATCCGCTCTCCCCGGACCCCGCATTCACTATATCTGGTCTCCCCGGACCCCGCATTCACTATATTCTGGTCTCCCCGGACCCCGCATTCACTATATCCGGTCTCCCCGGACCCCGCATTCACTATATCCGCTCTTCCCGGACCCCACATTCACTATATCTGGTCTCCCCGGACCCCGCATTCACTATATCCGGTCTCCCCGGACCCCGCATTCACTATATCCGCTCTCCCCGGACCCCGCATTCACTATATCCGCTCTCCCTGGACCCCGCATTCACTATATCTGGTCTCCCCGGACCCCGCATTCACTATATCCGCTCTCCCCGGACCCCGCATTCACTATATCCGGTCTCCCCGGACCCCGCATTCACTATATCCGCTCTCCCCGGACCCCGCATTCACTATATCTGATCTCCCCGGACCCAGCATTCACTATATCTGGTCTTCCCGGACCCAGCATTCACTATATCTGGTCTCCCCGGACCCCGCATTCACTATATCTGCTCTCCACGGACCCTGCATTCATTATATCTGGTCTCCCCGGACCCCGCGTTCACTATATCTGGTCTCCCCGGACCCCGCGTTCACTATATCTGGTCTCCCCGGACCCCGCGTTCACTATATCTGGTCTCCCCGGACCCCTGCATTCACTATATCTGGTCTCCCCGGACCCCGCATTCACTATATCTGGTCTCCCCGGACCCCGCATTCACTATATCTGCTCTCCCAGGACCCTGCATTCACTATATCTGGTCTCCCCGGACCCTGCATTCACTATATCTGCTCTCCCCCGGACCCCGCATTCACTATATCTGCTCTCCCAGGACCCTGCATTCACTATATCTGGTCTCCCCGGACCCCGCATTCACTATATCTGCTCTCCCCGGACCCCGCATTCACTATATCTGCTCTCCCCGGACCCTGCATTCACTATATCTGCTCTCCCCGGACCCCGCGTTCATTATATCTGGAATCCCCGGACCCCGCGTTCACTATATCTGGTCTCCCCGGACCCCGCGTTCACTATATCTGGTCTCCCCGGACCCCGCATTCACTATATCTGCTCTCCCCGAACCCCGCATTCACTATATCTGCTCTCCCCAGGCCCCGCATTCACTATATCTGCTCTCCACGGACCCTGCATTCATTATATCTGGTCTCCCCGGACCCCGCGTTCACTATATCTGGTCTCCCCGGACCCCGCGTTCACTATATCTGGTCTCCCCGGACCCCGCGTTCACTATATCTGGTCTCCCCGGACCCCGCGTTCACTATATCTGGTCTCCCCGGACCCCTGCATTTACTATATCTGGTCTCCCCGGACCCCGCATTCACTATATCTGGTCTCCCCGGACCCCGCATTCACTATATCTGCTCTCCCAGGACCCTGCATTCACTATATCTGGTCTCCCCGGACCCTGCATTCACTATATCTGG